TCATCAGTTCTTTTAGTCTGTTTAAGGTCATCGCTATCAAGAACAACAGGAGTCTGGGCAACATACCTTGAAGCCTAGAAGTTCTTTCACCATGGTGCATAACTCACCTACAAGTATGAATGATAAGCTGAAATAAAGAATGAATGTAAAATACAAGCCTATAAACTCTGAACCATGCATACTTTGATGCCAAACTGACAGGACCCGACCCTAATAACTCTAGCAGACCCGGAACATTACGCACATTAAAAATAGATATCAACTAAAAGCAGGATCCACCATTAAGGATATTACAAATGCAACTTTTATGAGCTATTTTTAAGAAACTTTCAATATTATCTCCTACGTAATTTGGACTAACCAACCTGTAATGAAATGCATAAATTCCTACCCAATAATAACAACAATTAGGAAACATTTTCCCTTCCAATATCCACTATAAAACAATTAAATTTAAACAACATAAACTAAACACTTGGATGCAAAATACGTAGTACGTCTGCCTTGCTATCTACAAATAATGCAAATGTGATATTCAAAAACAAACATGCCTCCCAAAGTAATGAATACTTTCTTTTGAAATGAGTAGTTCTAGCTAACACTGTCGTGTGGCTCTAATTACAAATTCCAGGCTGAATTGCGAAATCCGTCCAAAAAATGAACTTATACCTAATAAGAAAAGTCGTGAAAAAATATATGAGTTGATAGGCTTAATGCTCGGAGAATTTCGAAAATAACTATATTTTCTCGTTTATATTTATTTAACAAAAATGGAGTTTGTATTACTTAAAAATTCTGAGTATAAATCATATAATTATAGTTAAGATATGAGATATTCTTATAATGCAGTCTTAACAGTAAGCAAAAATATAATCGAAACATTTATTTCACATTACTTTCAATTAAGTAATATTATACAATTTTCATAGTATAATAATATGAAATTTGTGCATCTCATCACATCACACCACACTATATTGGGAGATCTCACCACAAAATGTACCTGTTTCTCTTGGTTTCATGAGTGAAATAAAGCAATAGCTCAACAAAAAATGGATATGGTACAGTTTACGAAGTTGATGACGATGACCTTTCCTTGGAAGTTCTTTATAGACTACGAGATTTTCAAGTACAAGGTGTAATGAAGTTCATGAGAATGATTTTCCATTGGGATTACTATAAGCATTATCGGAGTATACATTACAAGACAATGCATATGAGCAAACAGTTAAATCTTTATTGACCGGTAGATCAAAATATTGAAAATTATACTATTCCTCAACAAGTAATGGAACCTTCTAATGAAAATTTCCTTGTACACCTTCCCAAAATTATAGAAAGTAGACTAGTCGTTCAACCTAGAGACCAACAATACTAACGAACATGTAGAGATTAAAACATAGATCATAATAGGATAACACGAATTAGCAGTATTAAAAAAAAAAAAAAAATGTGGAATCAGAATGCAACCCTCCAACTTCATTGTTTGATCAAAAAATTGAGTTTCTTATTAAACCTGATAAGATGATTGAAGTATATATCGTTAAGTTCGAATAGGGGGATGAACGCAAGTCATGTTACTTTGAGAAGGTCGATGTAAAAATTTGGAGGACGATTGCAATTTGTTGTTAAATCAACTTTATGAGGCACTTGTGTAGAAGTCAAGCTTGAGACTTTAAAAAAAGAACTTAACGGGGAAGTAACACATTTTTCTAACCTTTAACTATTTAATATTAGTTATTACACTGCACAAAACTAAAAGGATTGTATCAACTTTTAGGCAAGTCTAAATATTGTCAAAAAAATATTTACCTAAACTACAACTTTCATTCTAACAACCAAATATTTATTCAATCATATTATTGGAACTAAAAAAATAAAAGGATTAAAAACATCACTAGGTTCATTACAATAAATGTAGAAAAGAATCCAAGCAACTTTTGTTCTTGAGCACCCAATTTCCAACAATAGATCCTCAAACTCTTTTTAGATGATTGTAAATCTTCTGATTAATTTTGTTGTTCAACCTTAAAATTCCAACTTGAGATATAAATACTAAGGATTCAATGTATTTTGATGTATCATTTCGTCTCAAGATTGTAAATCTAGCCTCCTTTTTCGCTGAAATTAATGATTTCTATTTACATATCTAAATTGGGTCTAAAATAGAGTACACAATGATAGCAAACTATAATTTTAGTCCAATTAGAATATTTCATATTGCTAAAAATTATACTTTAACTTTGCAGTTTGACCCTTGTTCCTTACTTCCACACGACTCTTTGCTCCCCAACTTTCAAAATATGTCCAACTTTTATTATTATTATTATTATTATTATTATTATTATTATTATTATTATTATTATTATTATTATTATTATTATTATTGCTCAATTTGTGCTTTTAATCCATTCTCGTCCAATGTCGGATTTTCTCTAAAAATAATCAATAAACACCCAAAAGTTAAGTGTCTAGTTCATAAAATTTTCAAAAGCTATATTTGATGGCCAAGATTAGTGTCATATTCACACTTTTAATATTTATACCGGTAATGTTTATGCTTATAAAATACCTCCAAATTTAAACTTTTATTCGTCCTTGGATAAAACACAATAAAAACTTAACTAGACTCTAAACAAGTATACTCAACTTGATATATATGATTTTATTTTTTTAAATGAATATCTCAATCACAACATTCAAACAAGTTAATGAAACACAAGAATTAACAGTCATTTCACAAACTTCATATATCATATATTTAGGTTTTTGAGTGAGTTAAATATTCTCATTTCCACAATTACTACTTGATCAATCAAGTCATGTATTTCCGATTTCAAAGTTTCTTTTCCCAACAAAACTGCCCCCAAGTATGTCAATTTAATCCCTATCACTCGTATAGCTTTTTTGATTTTTCGGTTTCATTTTTTATGAAGGTAAACTAAACAAGTGAATTAGGGCTTATTTTTCATCATCAACTCCACCACTTTCAAAATTCCTAATCAATGAACAAGACTTCGTCGAACAGAGGCAGTACTTACAGTTGTTTTGTTACTACTTCTACACACTTTGGTATGTTTCAAATTTTTTCGTCTTTTCTATTATTTTTGGGATCTTTCTAATTTTGAAAAGTAATTTTCGCTCTACACTATAGATCATCTTCTTTCGCTGTAGATTATCACTTAAACATTGTTGTTGAATGGATCCAAATTACTTAAATATAAGTAATTTTTCCTACGTTCCACGACTAGTAAAGTGTCCTTCACTTTTTTAGGCCAACAATAAAAACTGAAGAATAATAAAGTTATTATGTTCTTAGTTTTGGATCAATCTAATCATCCCAAACTTAATCTAAATAGATTTTCAATATGTTTCTAACTCGGGTGATTAGTGTAATAAATATGTGCAGTAGTGCTAAAAACTTTTAAGGTTGTTAACTTATATAACCAACTTTGAAGATATTCATAAATGAAATAAAAAATGAATTTGTGCTCAATTTATTTAAAATTCAAGTATAAAATAATGAAATTCAAATAATTATTGGAAATTCGAAAGTTCACCTGAGCGAATTCAAATTTTGATCATAAATAAAAAATAATCTTATTATTGGATATGTATCACATCATTCAAGTTAAGTTACACACAAACGTGCAATTGTTTTTCAAATTTGTCATTTCTTTTTTATTTTATTTTTTTCAAATTTTTATTAATATTAGTGTTTTATATATGCTTTTCTAACTCATAATAACGCCTAAATTAATCACACAAAATCAGTCATGGTCATTAAATTACAAGAAAATCTAGAATTTTCACCCAAAACTAAATTCCTACATTATCCTCAATGTAGCACTGTAAAACCCAAAACATGAAAATTAAGTAAAAGAAAGGAATCTTAAACTTGTCGGATAAGTCTTACACTACAAAATTGGTATTGAATCTTGTAGAATCTTTATTTTCCTTTTTCCTTTTTTATTTTTTTTCTTACTTCTCCTTTAAAGGTATCTCTTGTTCTTCATGTAAATTATTCCTACAATTAAATTTTTAAGTTTTATGGCAACAATTATTATCAAGATCACAATAAAGCATAACATCAACTGCTTATCCCATCTACCTCAATTCTAATTAAAAAATATATATATATAATGTAATTACAAGAATTTCTAGAAAAAAAATCTCATGATTGTAAGTATTAATACTTTTGAGTGAAATTTAGACTTTCATGATTTTAAAATTTTGAATTTATTGATGATGAAGTACGTTAGTTGGGGGAGAGATTTTTGAAAATTTGAAATAAAAAGCTCATTAAAGTTTAAAAAAATCACTACAACAGAATTTGCTTTTTATGGCATACAATGCATGCCGTAAAAAGTTCTTTACGGCATACACGTGAATGCCGTATAAAGCCATGTCGTAAATACTCAATTTTTTTTACGGCGTACAATGAATGCTATAAAAAAGGGAATGTGCACCGTTGATAGACTTTTTATGGCATGCATTTGCACGCCCTAAAAAGATGTTGCTCTTTACAGCATACATATGCACGCCGTAAAAGATGCCTCATTTTATGGCATACACATGCAAGCCGTAAAAGAGTCCTAAACATCAATTTTTTTGTTTCAAATTTTTATTCATTTGATTGTCATCAAATCTATAATAATTAAAATAATTAAAGAACAAAATTACTTACATTAATACATTCGTAATCACGTTTTCCATAATTTCGATAAACCAAAAAAAGAAGTACAGTTTATTAGGAAATGAAAAAAAATGTAGATTGTGTCTAAATAATTCTAATAAGCCAAAGACACGGATGGAGAAGTGTTGCTCCACTATATATTCTACCAAATGGCTCTGCCTCGGAGTTATCACTAGAGTCTTCAGATTTAACATTTTTCTAGTAAATTTGTAAGTTCCTCCCTTTTGTAATTTCTTCCTTTTTCCATATATAATCAAAATTCTCTAGCGCCATGGCCTCAATTTTTTTCTGCGGGAGAAGACATCTAGCATGTCTCACCAATATCCACTGGGGTGGTGTTGTTGGAACTCTCACTACTTTTGAACAAATCACTGTAAGGATTGAAGTGTGAACCTTTCTTCCCTGGATTCCTAGACCACTGCAATACAAGACCAACAAAACACAAGTTCAATTAAGCAGCACTCTCTTAATCGTGTGAGGATTGTCCAATCCATTCTACATAATTATTGAGCAGGACATGATCCTTTTATTATGTCTAATGTTACCACGTTATCAAAAAAGTACACTTAAAATCTCTTATTAACTGTAATAATCTCATAGGCAACCTTACCAGATACAGGGGATATGCAAACAGGGGAAAAGGGACTTTGTATCTGAGGAATTTGATTGACAAATCCAGATTCTTGTAGACCTTCTCTGACAACTGGAATGAGAAAAGAAATGGCAAGGACACAAATTAGACCATCCAGTTAAGAAATCATAACCACAAATTACCACAAATTCTTAAAAGAAAGACAAACAAAAATTGCCGTGTACCCATGAATCAAGAAAAGCTCAAGAATCTATGGAAAACATTACTGGTACCCATGATTCGTCGTTTTCAACATGTCCATGATTTTGATGGTGAGTCCTGTGGCTTATTATCCTATAATGTTAACATAAATAAGAACATTAGTTTTCTACAACGTTATATTATGGATTGGAGATATTTTCAAGACTAATCATCCATGGTACGGTACAAGAGTGGAAGAATGCAAGTGTGCCCCACGATATTATTGAGATTGGGATTCTCAGAGAAGCTCCCATGGCCACTGTAATCAACAAAGACACCAATCATAGACAACTCCGTTCTTTTCATAGCCGTTACTTGTGTTGACAGTGAAAGTAAAATTTTGTTATATCGGGCAGTCTCACCAAAACTAGTGTCAAATCCATCACTAGTGTCAAATCCATCACACGATGAGGGGGCGGCCATGCATGATGGATCCATCGGAGTTGTTGCATATAACTTAAAGATGCACTCACACTCACGCAAGAGCTAAGGATGGAGGTCATGAGGTTGAAGATGAAAGCAATTGGATTGGACTCTCTCTCTCTCTCTCTCTCTTTCTCTCTCTCTTAATTGTGAGCTTTGTTGGAATGGGGCCTATTGTTTCTATTTAAAAAAGGTCAATCTAAAAATCTAATATGGGATCAGTTTGTATTGAATTAGAAATCACACCCCAAATTGTAATTGCAATTCCAAACGAACCCGGCAGCAAACCATGCGTCTATGCTTAGTACATGAGGGCAGCTTGCAAGAGAGCTGAATCAGGTGAATAATATAGCATTTTCGATGCTAGTGGTGACACTTTCTCAGTACATTTTGCGGGTTGTAGAGCTGATGATGTTGGGGCATCTTGGCGAATTTGAACTATTCAGCGCCTCAATTGCTATTTCTTTTACGAATGTTACTGGATTCAGTGTTATAGTAAGATCCTTTTTCTTGTCTCAACATATGATTTTGGAAATGATTGCTGTAAGTCATACGTTTGAATAGTTTTGTGATTTGTAATAAAATTTTAAGAACAGATTCAAATCCACTTGCAGCAATTATGTTTTTCAAGTATATTGTGAGTTTTCAATCTTTAGATTTGGTGTTTAGGGATACCTCAAGCTTTAGTTTTACTCTACAAGGAATGTTGGTCTGCTAATTAAATTACATTTGATTTTTAAAGCTCTTAATTTCTATTCTTCAATACTTTCTTGTGTTCAGGACTTGACAAGAACACTTTGCTATGTAACCTCCACATGTAGGTTTCTTCAGAGAAACCAGAGATAAATCTAACTAGAATCTGTGTTTTCCTACCACCATTATACTAGATTATGGCACGATTTTTTCAATCGAAACGAAATTCTCAACCTAGTTCTTCTAATGTTACATCTACACCCACCACTACATCGAGTTGAGCATGTGAGATGTTAAATAATACAATGATTACTTTCAAATGTATATGATTTTATGTTAACGCCCAACGACCACAATAGCTGACCTACAATCCTGGATCTGCCACTGTCCAAAACCATATTTCTTAATGTCATGAGGTACTTGTGCAAAAGTCAAGCTTTAGATTTTAAATCAAGAACTAAATGGGTACCTTTTAACTATTTAATTTTAGTTATTTACTTTTAGGCACATTTTGATATTGTCCAGAAATAATATTTACCTTTGCTACATCATTCATCCTAATAGCCAATTATGAATCCAAACATATGATTACAATAAAGGAAGATAAAAATCCAAGTCATTGTTGTTATTCAATATCCAATTTCCAACAATGGATATTCAAACTCTTTTTCATGATTGTAAGTCTCCCGGCCAATTGCGTTCTTAATCCCTCAAATCCCAAATTAGTACCTTGTAACTGAAATATAAAGTTAGGTCATACGTGGGTGGTTCCTCTAGCTAAGGACCCTTGACAGAGGCCTTAGGTCACCTCGATGAATGATTAAGACTCATCAATGAACTGTATATACACGGTGAGACCTCGATGCAGTATAGAACACGGTTAAGACTGCTTTATGCACTAGAATAAGTATAATCATGGATACTTTTCTAGTCAATTCCAATATGACATATCTCACATTCCATTTAACAAATATTCACCTTACAATCTTTTTAATTCCACAGCTAATAAACATTGTATTGTAACCACATAATTGACAAATAGTTCCTTAAAAAACAAGCATAAGATAATAGTATAATTAATTTATCATTGTTAAAAAATATTTTTATTTTCCATTCACTAGACTATGTGATGTAGGATGAATAACAAGAAATAAGAAGGAGAAAGGGGGAGAGGAGAAGAAGGAGAACCGGGGGAAGAAAACACAGAGGCTGTAGCCAACTTTTATTCAATTAATTCATCATCTCAATAACAATGTAAAATAGGTTTAAATACTGAAAATACTGCAAACCTAAAAGATAGGGTCAAGCCCAATACACAAGTCCATAAAAATAAAATAACTCAAGTCCAACTAAGAAATAAAAGTCCAACTAAAATAATTAAAACTGGGATGTCCTCATCAATTCTCCCGGGGTGGGAGAGAAAACTCGACCCTGTCGAGTGGCTATATCACCATAGGTATCCGTCAATCTCCCAACCATAGGCTGAGTGGCTCGGCAAGCTTCTTCCGGAATCTGTAGAAATGTATCAGTGGCGGTCTGAACCTGGTGTCCTCACCAACTCCCCTCGGGTAGACGGGAGGCGATCTGGGCCAATGAAGATCCTGCTAACTCCGATAAAACTCTAATAAATCTGGATCCAATTGCTGTAGTGTCTCCCTGGAGATCCATGCACAGTCACAATCTGGTCGACCAACCCAACGAACAAGGAAGCGCTGAACCTCTCCATCATTAGTGAGCACAGTTTCTTCATCTAAAATAGAATCAATTTTTTCTGTGTGATGTGAGAGGTGGTAGTAGGTTAAAAGGGGCCAAAGAATCAGGATCAAGGTCCACAAAAGGAGATGACAGAGGATCATCTGAGGGAATGAAACGGCCTTTATAAGCTACAAGGTCCTCAACATTGAAAGTAGAGTGGTAACCAAGGTGTGGTGGAATGTCAACAATATATGCATTTGGACCAACCTGCTTTAAAATTTTAAAAGGATTAGCACTACGAGCTTGCAATTTAGAGGCAGGTCCATGTAGACGCCGCTCTGGCCTAATGCGAACCATAACGTAATCCCCAATGTTAAACTCAATATGTCGTTTGTGTAAATCAGCTTGGAGTTTATATTTTGCATTACTAGCTTCAAGTTGTTTATTGATCTCAATATGCAAGTCACGAAAATGTTGTGCAAATGTTTCGGCTAATACTGACACTCTAGCCTGTGGGGACATAGGAATGAGATCTAACGATTTCCTAGGCTTGTACCCATGAACGACTTCAAATGGACTCATACCTAATGAACGATTTATGGAGCTATTATACGCAATTTGAGCTGCAGGAAGGATTAAATCCCAATTTCGAAGGTTTTTCCGGACCAGACAACGTAATAGGTTACCAAGACTTCGATCAACTACTCCAGTTTGATTGTCAGTCTGAGGGTGGTAGGCCGTAGAAAATTTCAATTTGGTACCCATCTTATGCTACAAAGTTCTCCAAAAATGGCTAGTGAAACGAACGTCCCTATCAAACACGATGGTCTTGGGAAGCCCATACAATTTGACAATTTCATTAAAGAATAACAGGACAACCTTGGACGCATCCGACGTCTTGCTACAAGGGATAAAATGAGCCATCTTTGAGAAGCGATCGACAACCACAAAAATAGAATCATGCTTCTTTGGGGTGCGTGAAGTCCTAACACAAAATCCATACTAACATCTTGCCAAGGACAATTAGGGACAGGAAGAGGGGTGTATAGACCCGTGTTCTGCTTCTTCTGCTTACTCAATTGACAAGTGTTACAAGTACTAACAATCTTAGCCACGTCTTTCTTCAAGCTAGGCCAATAGAATTGACGTTCAACTTCCTCTATGGTCTTATCACGTCCAAAATGACCGGCTAACCCTCCAGCATGAATTTCCCACACGATGAAATCTTGCACTGAAGTTCGAGGGATGCACAATTTATTGGCTCTAAAGAGATAACCCTCCTCAAGTCGGAAGCCATCTGTGGTGCCTGATTGTCCCCTTTGTAAATCAAGAAAGATATCTTTAAAATCGGGACACGCCTCGTAATCCTCCTTAAGCCTTTCAAAATCGATGGCCTTGACACTCATGATCGACAAAAGGGAGACACGACGACTTAATGCATCAGTTGCTTGGTTCTCTACGCCCTTCTTGTGTTTTAAAACAAATAAATAGGCCTGCAAATACTTGACCCAACGACCATGCCTAGAACTTAATCTTTTCTGGGAGTTGAGGTAACGGAGGGCTTCGTGATCCGAATAAAGGACAAATTCTTGGGGTAACAAATAGTGGCGCCAATAGCGCAAAGCCTGGACCACTGTATACAGTTTCTTATCATAAGTTGAGTACCACTGTTTGGCTTCATCTAACTTCTCACTGAAGTAGGCAACAGGGTGACGATCCTGACTTAAGACTCCACCTATACCTACCCCGGAGGCATCACATTCAACTTCAAAGACTTTGGAAAAGTTGGGAAGGCGCATAACAGGAGCCTCCGTCATTCACTTCTTGACTAACTTAAAGGCCTTGGCCTCCTCTTGTGTCCAACGAAACTCTCCTTTCTTCATGCATTCCGTGATAGGCGCCATAATAGTACTAAACTCCTTAATAAAGCAACAATAAAATGTAGCTAAGCCGTGAAAGCTTCTGACGTCATGAATAGCATTAGGCTCAAGCCAGTCAATAATCACATGAACCTTAGCAGGATTAGCAGATACTCCTGTCGAAGAGAAAATGAAACCCAAAAAAATACTGTGTGAGAAAGAGCATTTCTTGACGGGATACAGTACCAACCATCACTTCTTGGTGAAGAAAGAGCGCTTCTTGACGTTAGCATATAGATTAGTTGCACGAAGGGTAGAGCAGACTTGTGTGAGGTGGTCAAGGTGTTGCTCCTTAGACTTACTATAGATGAGGATATCATCAAAGTAGACAACAAGAAACTTTCCCATGAAAGGTCGGAGAGTTTGTGTCATTACCCACATAAAGGTACTTGGTGCATTACTTAGCCCAAAAGGTATGACCAGCCATTCATAAAGATCATCTTTCGTTTTAAACGCGGTCTTCTACTCATCACCTGGGCGAATTCGAATCCGATGGTATCCACTCTTCATATCAATCTTCGAAAAGATTGTGGTACCAACCATTATGTCTAACATATCGTCAAGTCTAGGAATAGGAAAACGATACTTTACCATAATCCTATTGATCGCGCGACTATCCACATACATCCTCCAAGAACCATCCTTCTTGGGCGTCAACAGGGCAGTAACAGTACACGAGCTTAAACTCTCACAAATGAATCCTTTGTG